CAGGAATCTGATTGCGAAATGGCTCATTTTATAAACATCACTACTTTTATGACTGACAAAAATATGCACGATCAGGTGCCAACTCCTTCACAAATACATATTTTACAACTTGTGTTGTAAATTGCTTGCAAGTACAAAATTCTAAGATGTTAAAGGTCTATGCTCAATCCATAAAAAATGGCACAGTTCATACAAAGATTTCATGGATTTTGCTCTTCTGCCAGTTTCACATCCATGTAACTTGACTAGTTTCAGAGGAGTTATTTGCAATATATACATAAATTTACATCTAAATCAAGCCATCTCCTGTATACAATATTGTACCTGGGATTACACATGCGTTTAAAACACAAGTGAAATACAGGACAGAGAAAAGATAACTGGACCTTGCCTATTTTAAGACCACTATATAGTCTGTATATCACAGTGCACATGAAGCAGCACATTTTTTCAGAATTTGCTTTTTAAGTTTGCTGCCCATTGTAGAAGTCTCTTTAAAACTGCATGGGCCATGAAGTACGGATTAAGTCTGAAAAAAATTACATTTCTAATTGGAAATGTTTGAGAGTTACAAAAACCATACATGATATCCCACTATTTAAAGCAGTAATGAACTCTAAATTGAACCACTTTCCTCATGGAAAATTCTTCAGCAATTGCTGTGTGGATAGCCATTACAGCTTTTCTAATTATAGTACAGGTTAAAACAAAGTATTGAATGTTTTAGCTCACTCATGTGTGACATGGATACATTTATAATAAGCTTAAGTATTGGGAAAAAACAGTCATTTGGAACTGATCAACTGCCCATACATATAGGAGAACTTCTAGTAGTTCTGTATTGCCTGCTCTTCTCAGTCACTTCACAGAATCCATTCAAAAATCCAGTCTCAACTGCCAATCTTGGAGTCACTGGGTTTTTTGGGGGGTTTTTTGGGTGGTTTTTTTTTTTTTTTTTTACGTTTCCATTAAGACCATTTAAAAATAGTAGTCTTGATATAGCAGGGATGGAAACATAGAATTAAAAGTCAGACCTCACAGTCCTCATAAATGTAAGACATAGTTTTAAAAACCTCTTAAGGAGATGTGCCTTCTGGTTTTATTAAAAATGAAGGTAACATCAAATAAAAAGCAAAACTAAAGAAGAACAGGTAGAACATTTTACTTTTGTCAAACTTTAAACGTAAAGTATATTAAAAAAACATGGTTTGGAATTTCAAGAACAGGATTATAAACATGTATTTTCTATCCCAGAAAAAAATTCATGCGGGTGTTACAGTATTTGATCATTCTCTACATCCACTGGTATGCAACATCAACTTAATGTTATTAAATAGATACAGAGACACCATAAATTCATACAAATACCAGGGTCTTCTGGCCTCAGTTATACTCATACTGTAGATAGAGCAAATCTGTTCTTTGGTAATTGGAGTAGGTTCATTTTCCATTCCAATGCAGGACTGTTAGGAGGCCATATTAGCCACTCATCTCAGAAAATTACAACTCCTGTAGACACAGCCTGGGCTACTTTGTCACAAGAAAATATTAGAGGTGGTATTAGAGGTATAAATGCAAAGAAGTTAAAATTATTCATTCCTTGTGGTGGCTGCTTCAGGAAAAAAAATCCAAACTCTCTCCTTCTCTATTCATTGCTTAATCTAGGTAACATTTAGACTCATATGTAAAGGTATTTTGATAGATGGGAATGTACACATGCACACTTTCATTTTAAATAAAGAGACCTGTGTGGAGAATGGCAATTTAAAGTTAACATGACTTGAAGGTATTCCTATAATAAAGTTTAAAGATTTAGTAAACTGGGACATTACAAATCCAAAAAAGTGTTTCTAGATTTTTCATCTTCCCTTTTTCAACAAAGACTGACAGAATATACATATACAGGCTGACATTTTGATTTATCCAAAACAATTTTCACTTTGCTCAGTTTGCAAGTCTATTGACTAAAATGTAATATCATTCACAACAAAATACTTTCAGTAAGTGAAACAATAAGCAAAGAAAACCAAAACTAAGCTCAGAAGCTAAGTGGTTTAGAAAGCCTGGTAATACCTATGTGTGCATAAGTGTGTCTATAATTTTTTTTTATACATTATATATATAGACACACACACACATATATACACACACACACGTGCGCACATGTGCACACGCACACACACACATTTGTAACCTGCAGTGAAGATCAATCTATTTTCTAATAAGGAACAAAACACATTATTTAAAAATGTGGCTAATTTAACAAAACAGAGAAGAAACTGCTGCTATCAAAATATACAATTTGGATTGCAGACTAGAAGGCTAACAACATTAAAAAAATAGTTTTAAGCAAAACCCCTTTGCTTCTGAATAACAACAGGTATCAACCTGCCATAGCATGAAGCATCCAAACAAGATTTTATAAAAAGTTTAAACTGTGACCCTTCTTCATTTGTAAAGTTCTTGACATATCATATAGTGCGAGCTCTGGTCTCCAAACTGGAGCCCCTTTCGTTTTTCTCAATCCATACTTCAGGAAATAAATGGCAGCTGACGGATTCAGAATCTCAAGTGAGATTTGTGCTTTACCATATACCTGAAAAAAAATAACAGAAAACAATGTTAATACTCTTTTGGTATTTACAGAAATTTTACTCTCAGGAATAATATGCACAGGGTTTGTTAAAACCAAATTCTTAGAGAACTAGCAAGTTGTCGAAGAGATGCAATGTTTTATCTGCCATATAGCTCTGTGATATGCACAAATTTTGTCCCACTAAAAGACAGTCAGCTAAAACCTTTGCTTTGAAGAAAATTCATGTTTTCCAAGGCACCAAGAATTCAGATATATAGGTTAGCTGAGACTTTTAAATAAGAAGCCATAGAAAGTTTGATGCTTGGCATTATTTTGACAATTCCCATAGGATTTTTCTTTTTGAAGTTCACTCAATCATTCAAGCAGTTTGCTGCGCAATCAACATGAAAAGATTAAACATTCATGAAATGCATGGGCTTCTCTCTTCTGTCAATATTTCTTCAACTGCTTCATGATAAGAAAGTTTCTTCTTTACAACATGAAAAAGGTATTGCAATGAACTTCCCATTCAGAGAGGGTTCTGAACCACAGAGAAGCAGAGTCAGAAGCAATGCTGTTCTTCACAGAGCTGCTGGGGCTCCTCCATCTCTCACTTCTCACAAAAGGCAGGGCTAAGTATTTGGAAAGCCCCTAAGATACAGAAGAATCGCTAGTCCAAAACTCATTATGTGCCGTATCTTTTTTGACTTCCTCTTCTACCCAGTGCTGTGAACTCAAGGGCATCAGGATAAGATAATGCTTTGTGGCTCTTTATCTCAAGGTAGTTTCTCACCTTTTCTAGACTCATCTAGTGAGGTGGAGAGAGAAAGGAGGAGAGCTCATAAGCTCAGAACTGCATCCTAAGGGAGGGCTGGGGGAACAAAGGAAAACTACACCACCTAGCTTGTTCTCCATTCCTTTCCTTCTGCCTAAAGGGAGGTGGGGAATCACGGTACTAACTGATGATTAATGGTAACTACCCTTCCTTTAAATCCATGCATATGACACTTTGGAGATTATTATTTATAATTTATAATAAAATACAGTGGTATATATTTAACTGTATCATCAGGGAAAGTCTAAACAAGCAGTATTTTCAAGCTAAAACATTGTTCAAATATCTAAGTTGTATACAATTCCTTTGTGGCCATAACTTTTCCTTCCCACCAAACATGATAAAAACATGAGCATGAAGAATTTTCAAGGAAACATACCTGTCCAAAGTTTCCCAGAAGCGTAGAAATACTGGCCTGTCCAAGTGTCTTTTGTGGTAGCTTAGTTCTAACACTGTTACATCCCATTTCTGTACATTTGGATCCAGACGTACTTCATCATATTTGAGATGAAAAGCTTTAACTAAAGGAAACAGGAAAACATTTAGTATACAAACATGATGACTTTACAGTGTTTAATTAACTTTATAGAGAGAATTCCCACCCCATCCCTCTTTTTTCAGAATAGAGCCTGAGAACAAAATTAATAAGCCCATCTTTCAAGAAAGTAAACCAGTTAATAAAGGGCACTGAGCTAAATATAATGGTTGGTGGCCACTATCAGGCTCTCATGCTGTTACAGGTTTAAGTGAAAGGGCAGCCCCTATTTTTAGATGCACAGATTCCAGGAGAATAGGAGAAACTCATTGCAAGTTCAAGCATATTTTCTTTGGGAAACAAAGATGTTCTTTCTGAAAATCTTTGAACTGTCCAAGAATTTTAAAAAAGCATTTCTGAGACCACTGAGAACGAAGCCTGGCTATTTCCTGAAAGCCTGTGTAGAAGACTGATAGCAGAATGCCAGTGTAACTCCCAGACGCTAGATGAAGCATTCTGAGAAATTTAGTAACTGCCAATTTTCCCTGATCTAGTACTCAATTAAAAATGGTAAAATATTAACAGTTATTTTGCTCTTGGGAAGTATTGTCACATGTGAATTATGTAAAGCCTAAGCATTAATACAGTGAGTATTAAAATCTTCTTGTGATTCCTCTTGATTTCCTTAGCCAAATAATAGTTTTGACATAATCCAGTGCAAAGCGTTTAAGTCTTGTACAATTCCTATCTGGTAACCAATTTGATGCATTTTCTATTTTGGATGTTACTGGAGAAATAAAACAGAAGCATTTGACCAGGCTTGTGGAAACTAGTTATTTTTAATGCCATGGTCATATCTTTTCTGGTACCTCACACTTCATTTTTTCTTCCACAAAATCCACCTACAATTTTAGCCAAATGGCTAAAATAAATAAATAAATAAATAAAATCAGTCCCCTTTTTCAGATACAGGTCAATCTATAAAATGATATATCTAGGAGCTTTCTAGAAGATTGGATTCTGAAATTACCTTTTTTTCAATTAACAAACTAAAGGTGTGATCATCTGGCTTGTACCATTGCCAGATAAATTTCCAAGCTTTGTGAATGAAAACTAAGAATACATATACGTTATATTTGCCATACAATGTTGCATGTTTTAAAATAACTCCAGAGAAAGCAAATAAAGATATATCGGAGCTATGCATTTACAGAAAACTTAATCAACACCTGACAGAGCCTCTGCATTAAGGTTAAACGATATTGAGCAGAAGACAATCCACTTCTGAATCTGAAACAAATCAGTATTAAAGCGCACTAATGTGCTCTAGCAGCAAGACCTTTAAAATGGTATTCAAAATTAAATATTTGTTCATTAAAGTGACATCATTCAAAATGTCATCTGAATTTTGCAGATGCAAAAATAAGCTTGTTTGCTATGTGAACATTAAACACTCAGACCACGTGTAAAGAAAACTAAGGAGAACAATTTTAGAGACTCAACTAACAAAACGCTATGTAACATAGCAATTGAACAAATAAAACCAGCTAGACAGGCTCTGGTCCAATACAAATTTTATTGACAAATTCTTTATGGTAAGCTACCTGTTGTTTTCCAAAATGACAGTGATAAGCTTTGAATATTTGTTAATCGCTATGGACCCAGTGAATTACATGAAGAAACGCAAACTGCAGACGAAAAAATGAACTGTTGCAGATCCCAGAAACCGCATTTATGAAGACCATTGAAGACTATAAATATGGGCAAAGCAACAGCTTCAGGAAAAGGTAAACACATACAACCACACTGACATCGCCTGTGCTCTCTTCATTTACACTGTTTTTATTTTGAGGAGTGAGTAAAGTCATTAGGAAAAGCCCTAGAGATACCCTTATCAGGAAAATATTTCAAAAATACCTCGCTTTGAAACATGCATTTCTACATTAAAAAAGGTCCATTTCAATGTATCTTTACGAGTCAAGTAAAAACAGATATCCTTCTTTTACTTGAAAAATGTAAGAATTTGTACACCTTCAGATTGAACTACGCAGGCTATGATTTTGGTCTTTTGGCACAGCGAAGACTTAAAAAATGTGAAAGCATGTCATAACAATTCCTATGTCCCTCTGTACATTTATATATACATAATGTTAAAATTAATAGGAACTAGCATGCAGCTACTAGCTAGACCTTAAATAGTTAACAGCATTTTCCTTAGTTTTGCTTTTCACAATTTCTGTTTTGTCTATATCTTCATTTTGAAGTGTTATTTTCTTCTTTCATTAGTCTCTTTTGTTAAACTTTCTCCTGTGGTGTATTTTTTCTTTCACATTGACTTTCAGGCTCTTTCATTCTCTCCCTGTTCATTCTCAATCCCCCCTTAAGGAACTCATTCTGTTTTCTTGTTCACAGATACATCTTTAGTCTTCCACCCGACTGTTTTCTTTTTTTTTGCTCCTTACCAAACTAGCATTCCCTTTCCATCTTCTACTTCACATACCAAGTATGTGCACACATAAAACCTGATCAAACTTGTTTCCTCATCACACTGACTGGAAGATGACAGACTGAACTAAGGTGGGTTTTGGGTTTTTTGCACCTTTTTTGTTTTTTTTTTTTCTTTTGTGTGTATGCGTTGGTTTGGTTTTTTTAAAATCTGTAGCTCATAAACCACCAGACACTATAAAAAGGTCTATTTTCTAAGGCAGCTTCACAATGAAGCGACAGAGAACAGAATTTGACAGTTTCTTCAGATATTATCACACACCTTACAGTCAGAAGAGTGAACTGAATGAGAAAAGTGCAGTGTCCCAAAGCATATTGGGCATAACTGTGATAACTCAAAAAAATCTGTTCAGATCTATACAGTTATAACATCTAGCTCACAACTTAAAAGTATTTGTATCTTATTAAACTTTCGAGTTTTTGTCAGGCACCAGATCATATTTGTAAAGCTTTCTTAGTGAAATACTAGGTGATTAATCCTCTGTTCAAAGTAGTAATGAAATCTGAAGACAGCCTGTAAACCTGTTATCTATGAAATGTTATAATATACGTTGTCTTTTCACCTTTTTTTAGAAGCTTGGAAAGTAAATTTATACACTAGCTATTTCTGAACCTCTTGTAAAGATGACAGCTCTGAGAAGATTTCCGTGAGCTTCCACAGGTCAGAACAGAAGAATTGCAGAGGGCTCATTAATACTTGCCATCTGTGCAAAGACCTAAGCGCCTGTCTTCTCAACCATCCTAGTCCAACAGTACTTTGGTAGTACTTGGCAGTACTTTGCCGTAAGCATAAAAGCCCCCCAAACACCCCCAGAGTAACAAACCCCCAAACAAAACCCCCTTGTTTTTGTTTTACAAAACAAAACAAAACAAAACCCCTTACTTTTTGCAAAGATATCAACAGGCGATCCATCAGGCAAGAGCCAAGGCCAGCCTTTGAACTGCCAAGCAGGACCCTGTACAAACACTGCCACCACACGATCCCTACAAACACAGAAAGAGATGGACACATTGATGGCCTTGAACACTTAAATTACATGTTTTCTTAAACAGGCAATATACCTTAGCATAGTTTCTTATGTTAGTAACAGCAGTATAGCACATTTAACAACCACACCTCCAGTGCAACTGCTTTTTCCTCTGTTAGGCAAAAAAAAATTTCATGTGATTTTTCTGGACTTTTAGCTCTATCCCTTTGCAGAATGCAGCGCAGTTTCTCATGTTACATTTATAAGAAGTCAAACAGTGTTTATTTCTGGTCATTATTACTTTGCTTTTAAAAAGTGCTCCAACATTTTAGAGATAATCTTCTATGAATAACACTGTAATCAGAGATGTATCAATTTAAAAGCCCTTATTCTGAATAGTGTTAACTTCTATTCTAAAAATTTATTAGAAGAGACAGCTGCTAAATTTCTGCCTCCGGTTGCAAAGTGCATCATTTATTGTGAGGGTATGTAACCATTACCTCTGGTCTAAGAAAATAAATTTGTTATTAAGATAAAGCTTTTACATTAATAAAATTTAAAAAAAACCCTTTGTGAATAATTGTCCTCCCACAAACGGTCTATCTTTTTCTTGAACATTTACATCATCCAACCATCATTCCTACCTACTACAACAAATAATTACCTCCCTAATATAATCCCCAAATTTAATTCATCATAAAGCCTACCAAATCCCAAACGGAAAAGAATAATCTAAATGGAGTTTTCGGGTTTTTTTGTTTTTTTTTTTTTTTTTTTTTTAAAAAGACAGACTAAAGCTTTGTCATTTAGAATGATGTTGCAGGTTTTGTAATGGCTAACAGAAAAAAAAAAACCAAACAGTGGCAACCTCTTAATTTCTAGATACTAATACCTGATTCTCCCTTGGATGAAAACAAGCTAAAAATCCCACACCACTTCACCTCTTTGGTCAGAAGCACTTTAGGAACTATTTTAGATAGTTCTTAAAGGTTTGATCATTAAACATTTTAAGTGCTATTTGATATTTAGAATTTCAAACCCACAGATTTCTGATTAGTTCAAGTGCTCAATACAGAGACCAATTAATTTAGGAACAGGACTTTTTCAAAGTATTCCTCTCCGTTAAAATCTACTTTGAAAGTTACAAAACCATCAAAAATGTCATCGTGCATGTCTAAAATCCTCACATTTGTGAGGAAGAAGTAAAAATGTTGCCTAATTCTTTACATCAAATAACAAAAAGATATTTCTCCAGAATTTTCCTGCTCAAAGAGAAATATGTTTTCATAGCATCAAAGAATGGGCTACAGATAAAACAATCTGCAGCTTTTTCTTAAAAGCTATCTATGATTCCCTTTCCCCAACTGGGGCTCTCCCTTATGAAGTAAGCTTCCATCATTGAATCCAGTTCAATGAACCTGATTCACTACTGAAACCACAGTTCAGTCTTTACTGTCTGATGTGTTTTCTTTCTTTCTTTCCTAAACTATTAAAAAAAGATAGAATGTCAGATGCTGAAGGCCTGCAAACGTATCTTTCTAATAGATCTCATTCAGAAAGCAGGCGAGAAAGGAGGATTTTCTCTAAGATCACGTTTCAGTGACTTGCACACAACACTATCATGAACTGGAAAACTCATATGAATATTTCTATTTGAATTTCTGGAACATTTCAGGCAAACCTAATAAAAATAGTTGTGCTGTGCACACTGTTAAAATAGAGAGTGTTGGATTTCTTAAGAAACTTCTTTTAAGAAGTTTAGTGTCATATTATTTTCACCTATAGACTCCTATACGGTTAACAATCAAATCCATTCTTTCATCTGTATCTTAACTTCTTATGCAATGTAGTAGAATTTTACTGGTCCCTTCCAAATTCTGCATTGTCCTGATTAAGAAATTTTGTAAAGGGGAAATCTATTTTACCAGTCTTGTGGCATAAGTTTCAGAGGTTGGTCTACTACTCGATAAGGTACAGTAACGCTGACTGTAGTTCCCCCAGGCTGCATCTGGTCCTTCCTTCTCTGTATTAGAGTTTCATTTTCTCGTTGACAGCCTTGTTTCTTCTTTTCATCTGATGGTACAAACCTTGGGGAATAAAGAAACATTCTGTAGACAAAAGTTAGCAGGAAAAGTAGCAACTTTATCAGAACTTTGCATTGTTGGCAACAGTCACTGAAGCCATCTCATTTTCACTATGCCAAGCCTCCATCACTACTCATTCAGAATATTATTCTTATGAATAAGAATAATACTTCATAAGACCTTATGATAAAACCAGTTGTACTAAAAGGTCCTTTGCCCCTCAAAACTACAGCCAGACCTGTTCTTATACATTCGTGGCATTGCTTTGCCAACCTTACCCAATACATTTGCAGATGACAAGCCAGATCACAACCTGCTTGAATGGCTATAACTCATTCTTTTTAGTGATCAAGGGTAACATGGGGAAGCTTGATTTTACATTATCAACAATTCATCTGGTTACTATGATGTATGATACTACAATTCGGGATTTCCTTCTGCCCCCGCTTCCCCCCCCCCCAATAGCTTCTCTGATAGATTAAGTGCTCGGAAAATAAGGATAATGTGATCCTCATGTCTTATGTAATCTCTGTATGACAAAAGTAAATGCTTAAGATGTGACACCCTCCCCCCGCAATGTGTTACAGATCTTTGATTTTTCAGCCCCTCACCTTAAAAAAAAAAAAAGCAATTCCATTTCAAGAGTCTCTTCTTTATGGCAATAATAAAATACACAGAATAGTTCTCAAAATTGGCTTCATAAATGTGAGAGTAGTGCAAGCCTTTTTACTGATGAATCTCAGTGCATTTTGTCAAAAGGAAAGATAACAGATCATGCATTTTATAGAACTAAAACTATGTCACAGAAGGGTAAGCTGATGTGACTGGTAACACCTACCAGGCCAGCAAAAGAGCAGAGCTCAGACCCATGTTCTCCTAATATTCTATTCAGAACCACCCAGCTGCACTACTAACACTTTTTGCTGCTGACATTTCATTTCCAAAAATTCTGATAAAAAGAAACACTATGTTTCACTTAACTGCAAAAGTTACCAGGACTATTGTGTTACATTTTAAAAACACAGTACTCTACATAATTGGTAAGATTTCTCTTCATTATAGTTCAGATGGTGCTTTTTAAAAGTTTACTATATTTTTTGGGTAAGTTGTTCACACATTTCTATTTGTTCTCTTCAACCTATTTCTATTTGAATACTAAAACCCAATTTGAATGTGCTTAAACAGGCAGACTCCACTTCCTAGTGCTGGAAAAATAGAAAAAAGGAATGAAAAAAGAAAATATGAGGAAAAGTTCATTATTCAGTTAACTTGAAAATACTAGGTTTTGCTAACATCTTATATCCAATGAGAAAATGGCATTTTGGGGGAAAAACCCAAACAAACATGTTTTAAGGCAGCACGTGGAAACTGTCAATAAACCTTCAAGCAAAACTATTTTACTTTCCTAACATAAATAAACAGATGAAGTCCCCTTACACTCTTCACGATTTAACAGTGTTTCAAAAACAGAAAGTCACAACCAATTTCTGAAGTGTGTGTCCAAATGCATACATCTGCACTGGAAAATTAAAAAAAAACCTGCAAATGACTATGAATTGTGCATTAAAGCATTGCAAATACAGAAAAAGCATTGCAGATGTTAAATAAGCTATACATTAAATTATGCTTATCTGTCTAGTACATGTAAAACAACACCATTCTAAAGAAAATACAGACAAAAAAGCTATACAGGATACATTGGGAAAAAGTACACTTAGGCCACCTAGAATATTATAAAAAAACCGTTAAGACAGTCATTTTGCCAATAATTGAAGTAATTAGAAAACAGTTAATATTTACATATATTTTATCTACCACAGCTGACACATACCATTGCGTGCTACACACAGAAGCGTTCAACACAGTTCTACTTTGGAAAAAGCTACCAAATGTGACATCAAAATTAAGTATTTCTAGTTGGTAATTTAAAAACTTAAAAGTGAGGTGCTACTTCAATCATGAGCATACCTAATGGCCTGTCCTGCCAACATGTTCCAGGCTTTGCTTTGCCAATACTAACTGATAGGAAACTGTATTTCATAACTTAAAGTAAGGATTTGCTTGGTGGTCTTGAGCTTTTAAGAAAACCATTCATGAGTCTCCCCTCACCCATCAGAACTAAGGAATCTGGGTTGGAAAGATGGAAATGAAATGTGGGGTTTTTTTTTTTAAAAGACCTAATTTTAAAACTTATATAAAAAAAAACCCCCTCAAACACCTTTAACCCAAGCGGCAAGGTCTATAAAAAAAGCCAGGATCACCCAAAATGATGGAGAGCTTGAGAAAAATTTTGTTCTTTGTTACATGTCCCACGCACTGAATAAGAACAAACTCTTAAACAATATGTAAATAAAAACCAGCCATACATACATTACAGGGATAATAAAATATTCATATGAACAGCAATCTAAAAGGTCACATTTTTAATTTGATTTGTAAATGTGAGGAAGCAAACACATTTTAAATAGAGACAGGAAACCTAGCCGCCCCTGTCCAAATATGGACACTAAGAAGCAATATTGCTATTCTACAGTCTAACAATTTCATCACTATATCTGAGACCCCTCGAATTTGGCTGAAACAGGCATTCTCAATTCTATTTCTAGCTTTAAATGTTTCTGTGTTTAAGAATTCATTTCCACACTAGTTTATTGACAATTTCTCTCCATTTCAGCTAGAAACTGTTACAGCCATTAAGGCACCATTCAGTTGTGCCTCAGTTATGTATCTTGTAGACAATAGCTTCCGTTTTATTTACCGTAAAAATCTGAATGTTTTTGAATGCATTTCTCCAGGACAGAGCATAAAATCTCTTGTTATCTGAATTTTCTGAAGAAAAAAATATCAATGAGCAGATTCACATGCAATAGTAGAGAAGATAACTGTCGTAAAGAAAGCACTGAAGGAGTACAGGAGTACAGGAATAAATGCTTAGAGCTTACAGAAAGTTTATGAAATATATGCTTGCATTTCCAGGAACCATCGATTCAGTAAGTATAATAAAAGCCATGTGCTCAAGAACTAAGAATCAATAGAAATTATTGTATGATTATAAATATAATCATGGCTTACTCCATCACCACGTGGACATAAAAGACAAGCTTTATAAATGTGAGTATTAAAGAAAACAGCAAAAACCCCCTCTTTCTCTTGGGAATTACTTGCCACAATACTATAGCTGATAGTTTAACTACACATTTGTACTTGACAACTTTTTAATCATCCAATACACTAGAAATGTGTTCTGAAACCTGCCTGTGCAGGAGCTTACATTTTTTTGTTGCTTCTCCAGATTACTATTCTCCAGTTTAAAAAAAAAAAAAAAAAAAAAAAAAAAAAATTCCCATATCTCCTTAGAATCCATTTTTATACCCCTAGTAGGAAATTAATAGCACTCATTTCTCTTGCTGTTAATTTCCAAAAACACTATTCACATAAAAACCGGTGCACTTTCTCACTTTACAAAGACAGCAGGTCCCTTTCCTAAGGTAACAGGCAAGTGACTGAACAAGATCAAATTATGGAAGGTAACTGGTAAGATGCTATCCACTGAACTGCCAGAGCTGCTCCTGCCTAGGCTCTAAACTCACATCAATTGCTAGCATTAACTTTAACACACTTTCACTGAGGTCAGGTCAGCATTTTCTGGCCCCCAACTCAGGCATGCTGAAAAACACATGAACAGAGAATAAGGCAACTCCAATGCGGGATAGTAACAGAGATCATCGTAATAGACATTTGATTGTGTTTAGACCTGGAGACTTATTTTTACAACCCCCCCTCAATATTTTTGTTAAATTACAGTATCAAAAGCTTCATACACCTACTTTTGCAAAAGAACAAAGCTTTTTTTGTAATACATCATCCCTGAATCTTTCAGATAGTTTGCTCAATATCAAAGCTGGATAAATCTCAGTGAGTTGCCTGGCCACATACGGTGAAACATATAATGAGTAAAAGCATCATCATAATAAAAATACATAATCATCATCTAATCATTTACATCTGCCTGATATAATTCCTGCCTTGCTTTTGTTTCATGTAAAGCAGAAGCATTGCCTCTGAAAAGCCTAATTTCAGATATTCTCAAATACTTAGTCTGGAAAGCCAGATTTTACACAATAATTATGATATCTAGTGTTGCATTCAGATAGTGAATAAGAATAAAGTGTATTATATGAAGTATTTTTTAAGAAGCTTCATAATATACCATAAAGTATTGCAGTTCTGATTTTAAATGAAATTACATCTTTTTAATATTTTAGAAACTCTTCATTTTTATCTTGTACTTAGCTGCTTAGAAAAATAACCTTTCAAAAAAAGGTTATCAAGAATACTTGCATATGGTATAGCATGTGAGTTGTTATATTACAATTATATATAGAAATGTCCCCCCACAAAGTCTAAGTTGCAACAAATATATGCAACAGACAAATCAGATATATTAAAAAAATCTTAAACCGGTAACACGCTTCCGGTTTATCATTACATATTTTTCATTCTACTCATGATAACTTCCCTGCTTTCTGTACTCTCTACCTCAAAAGAGAGCGTAACATTAGTGATGAATTAAAGATGCTAAGCATCACACAAATGTCAGCCAAATTTGGCAAGGAAAAAAACCCCAAGATCCTACAGAGCTATGAGAAGGCTTACTAAAAATGTTGGTATAATTAATAAGTTTCTTTCAGTCCTTGACAATTGAATTTAATGCCTACCATAGTACTGGATGAAGACCATCCTGTTTATTTTAGAACAAACAACCTAAAATATTGGCCAATGATACCGCAATTACTTTTGCTCATATCCAAAGTGACAATGTGTTGCAGTCCAGTTACTTATAAAAAAAATCCTAAACAAAAGCTATCCTAAAAGACAGGGATTCCCAGCTATGATTAAGTTTTGATTTTAAGTCGTTTGATCTCTAATTACAATTCCAGCTAACTTTGTTTCTTATTTTGTTTTAAGAAACATTTAAATGGAGGGAATCACAAAAGTTGATCTTATTTATGAAACCCAAATACTCATTGTTTATTACCACACACTTCACAGAACTGTGCTGCCTCAGGTATCAGGCATGGAAGAAAAAGCTCCCCTCTAAACAACCCGTGTCACACGCGTGTCACAGGTTCTGCACCCTAGCAATCCTGGGGGCCTCATTCTCCCAAGGTTCTCCTACATTTCTTAGCAGTCTCCCCTGCAATGGCTCTTACTCTTCCAGCTCCAAAAATCCCTTCTCCTTGTGCCGTATCATTGATTTCCTCTGATGGCTAATACAAGCAGGCTGACTACCTCTAGAAACACAGGAAATTCAAATCTACCTGCATCTTCCTTGCAGGGGTAAGGGAGGGACTATTAATTTGGGTGTGTCTTTTCTATCTGGACAATATTTATTTACTCCAAAACTTGTGGTAATGGCATGTGTCATCCAAATCTCTACTCTAGAAAGCGGGGAATGAGTTAAAGAAGGTGGTGACTTAGAGGCAGAAAATAGGTAAGTCGTCTTTCCTTGGAAAACCATCACATATCTATCCATCACACTCTACACATCAAGGCGAGTTCTACACTCTGCATACCTGAACAGTAAAAACAAACCCTGCAGCCATTCTAAACAAACTACTTCAACAAATTTGAATGCAAAAAAAATACAGGCCAGGTGGCATATTTTCTAGAAGAGTGCTAGAACTGTCATGGCTAAATTAGTATTTTGCTCTTCTGAATTCTGCTCTTGCACTTCTGATTCATTAACATACCTTGCTTCTTCACTTTGTCTTTCATACTTGTTAACTACATCAGTGTCCTCCTTTGACCCCTTAAACTTAATTTCATTTTCTTCTGGATCATGTTCTTTGCACTCTAATGATCAGCCTCCTCTTGGGGCAGGTCTTGAGAAGTTAACTGTAGCTCTACCCCAGTGGAGCTGAAAACAGTGCAAGCCTCCTAGCACAGATATACTTAGACATGACATACAGGTGCTTTATTCCATTATAGCTATTTCCGTATCAGAAAGTAACAAATTATATAGATGTAAAAGCCAGGGCTTGTACTTGTGAAATTTTTTCTTAAACATAAAAGCAACATCCTCTGTCAACACAATTATATCAGTCCAGTAACTGCTTGCACATTAAACTATAATGCTAAAAGCTGCCTTCTCTCCAATTAAATATTTCAGAAGAGGCACCAAGACTCCAGTATGCTTACTGGATCTTTGATGGTATGTGGCAGTAATCTAGGAACTAGAAATAGCTGGAGATCCAAAGGCACCTGGTATCTCACAGCACAGTTTTAAAAAATTCTAGGGCAGCTTCAGTGACAACTGTAGCACCACAATAAGGACAGCCTATTTTTGAAGAAAAGCAGTGTATAGTCTCATAAAGGACACGCAAAGTGCTGAAGGTGGAAGAAGAGCTCTCCATTTTTTGAACATACCCTTGTGGACAATCTATAGCAGTGTATTTCTATGTGAAAATGACTGCCTGTTTCAGAAAAATTAACTGGTATTAACAAATAGGCAACTCTAAATACCGTGATCTGTTAGACAAACAGAAAGATGGTGGGGTTTTTTTTGTTGTTGTTTTTTTACCATAACAGTGAATTTTACCTTACCATGAAGAAAGTAACTTGCAGTGTTGATTGCATTCAGCTATAATGAATTAAATCTTGAATCAGATGTGTGACGCAATAAACAAATTTTAGCAACTCATTAATACTTCCCTGAATGAATTTGCATCGATACTTAATGACAATGCTTTATTCTTATTTTTGTTGTATGTGAACTTTAAAAAAATTCTTTATTTACACAATCAGCTGACCTGCTCAGCTGATACAGCTGTTTACCTAGAACAGAGGCCACCCTCTGGTCCCCTTCTCCTTTACAGTAACTGTGGTCATTTTCCCAAAATCTTTTCTGAGCTCCATGAGCACATTGCCCTTGCTCATCTTCTCTAAGTCTTCTTCCATTGTAAGGGTTCGTTGATCGGTTGCACATGTATGCATATGTTACATAAAAGAAAACCACGACAGACATTAGAAATGGTACTGCAAGACTTTCTTCTCAATCTGCCCATTTGGCCCACAGGTCACAACTGTGCAAAAACTCTGAAAATAAGTTTTTGCTTTTTTCCTACTATTCAAGAGGCATTAATTTCTTTTATACTCTGGTCTGTAAAAATAGCTTGTCACGAGACAGTAGATGCTCTCTTTTGCTTAATTACTAATTTGGTACTAGCATACCTTTATATCCAAAACCAGTTTTTTATACAGTGTGTTCTAATCAGCTACTTACTTCAGATCTTGCAGAAGGTCCTTTGCGTTAAGCATCGTTATTAAAGAGGTCGTGGCTGCTGGAATAATGATTATGGGAGTTCGAGATCCTGTAGAGATAATAAAGTTACATTTGCCTGGTGGGTTTTTTTTGTTCTTGGGGTTTTGGTTGGGTTTTTTTTTTTTTGTTGGGTGTGGTTTTTTTTCTTTCACTTTTTCATTAAAGGAACTGTACATAAGAACAAACCTCTTGCTTAACAGATCAAAATAATGCAAAAATATTCAAGGAAAATTGTAGTAAATCTTTCTTAAGCTGAAGGTTTTCATTCACCAAAAAAAGCGCACCCCTTTATCAGGAATCTCTAAATATGGGTAGAACCCATATTTAGCAAAACAGAATGCTGTCTGCAGTCCACTGCTTGTTTATACTGTTGCTTGTGGTTCCAGCAAAAGATAGAGTGGGCACAATTCACACAAAAATTAAAAGGATTTTGTAACTAAAATTGACTCACCTTTTTTCTGGTTTGGAGGTGGTCTTGCTTGAGAAACTGAGAAAAAATAGAAAATATGGCAGAATGACTAATACACAAATACAAATGTCGTTGTAAGGCAACGTTTCAATGTTTTTGGTTGCAGGAATGAACAGAGAAGAATCACACTATAGTCATTAGATGATTTTCACAGATGCAACATACAAAGTTGAAGATTTATAATTTGGGTCCCAGTATTCAGAAGACAAACAGCTTTTGACCATCTGAAACAGATGTTAGGACAGTTGAGTCAATCTCTCCTAATTTTACTGAAACTAGTCATCCTTCTCCATCCTCCTCAAAAGGTCGGGGCACTACAGCGTTGACAAAAATTGCCAGCAATCTTGAAAAAAGCTGCTTGTAGATCTTAAGTTCAATAGTGCTGAACCAACAGGAAGACCTTTTCACAACAAACTAATCTTTACAGACGCTCACCTTTTCATTAGTAGTTACTACCGTACATGATATCTATAGGATTTAGCTATCCTTAAAACATACAGAACTTCCAACAATCAAAATCTGAATTTCAGGCTTGCTCAAGTTAATTTTGGATCGCAGTTTGAGTTACATGAGCTCTTTGGGTGCCAGAAACAATGAAACTTGACAGATATGGTAGCACTCAAGCAAAAAAAACCACAACAAAAACCCCCAAAACAAACAAAAAACCCAATAAAAAAAAACCCAAATAAAGCCACACAAACAATACCAGCCAGATAGAAACCAAAGAATCCCCCCCCTCCAATAAAATGTTTCCACTTCAGTCTTCCAAGCTGTGACCTCCTCAATATGGGAGATACTTCAGTCCGAAGTTGGAAAAGCATGTATGTTTCTGCACTTCGGTGCAATTAATAAATAACCCGGCTTCCTTTAAATAAACATTTTATAGTTTCACAAGTCTTAACTTAAGCAAATAACTGTTGTGCTTACGATTACCATCATACATGTTTATCCTAATTCACAAAATCAGAAAATGGTGAGTAGTAGAATGATTGATGCAGACTAACTCAAGTCTCAACTGCTACTATGCCTGACAAGTTTCATTAATTGAGTTCCAATCTCATAGCAGCAACTTGCTCATGTTTATTTACAACCGTTTCAGAAACTGCCTCAAACAGGATAAATATTCACAACATATAGTTGCCATTGTTGAAATATTGAGACCATATCCTTAATTATCTTTTCCTGACATTGTCAAATGCAGATATAATTGGTGACACTATATTGAACTACACGAACTTTAGCTACCCAATGATTTTTTAATATTTTTTTTTTAAATCTATGTACCTCCTTAATGTAAAAAAGTTCCTGAAATATATGGGCAGCATCAGCTGCCCTAAAAAAAAAAAAAAAAAAAAAGGAAAAAAAAAAGGGAGGGGGGAAAGCATCTATAAGAAATTTGATAGCTGTACCAAGACAGGTTAGTAGAAAAGTAGGTACTGCAGAAGGGTGCAGAAAAACGTCTTAAATTAAAAGCACATCTCAGACATTTTTTAAAATCAGTATTGTACAACTGTTTTGTCCAATTCAACTGATGTGCAAAGCAGCATCCTCCTGGAAATTGCACATTTTAAATACTTTGACTGCTAAGAACAGAACAACTGATTTCTTAAAAGTTCCAAACCCCAAAATATGCTAGAACAGGCAGAAAGATAAATTTTTTTTTTTTTTTTTTGAATGAAGCAGTATGTACTTTCTTCAGATTATACCTCTCTTCTTTATTCTTTCTTCAACTTACAATATAGAGGCAAGATAATGGATTAGAGATTGGCCTTAGAGAAGAGCAATATCAGTATAACCTGTATAATGTACAGAAAATACACTTCTGCCAGTTAACGCCCATGAAGTCACAGCTAGCAGTAGGGACCTGTGACAACTCAGTCAGATTTCTGCTCTTGCCACTTCTACCCTTTTCATACTGCTGTCTGTCAACTCCATTTGCATTACTATGCTTAACGGGTTTAGTGAGAAGTATGACAGGCAGCATGACCTTTCTAGTACCAAAATAACCAAACAGAAAATCTATGCACAACAGCATTTAGGTATGCTGAGAATATTCAATATTAGAATAGACTTTTGGGGAAGAGTCATATTTACAATATTAAATCTTAGCATTAAATCCTACTAATAAATCTCAAGGAATTAGCAAGGCATGCATTGAAAGCATTTAGTAGTCTGAATAAGAATATACAGTAGTCCAGCAGTACTTCTGGAAAAAGTATATTCATTTTAAAAGGTAGCTTTGTTTCAAAAAAAAGTCCAAATGTTCCCTTTCCAATACCTTCATAACAAGAATAACCATCATCTTGTTCTTAAATAACACCTTTCACTCGAGACTTTCTTCTACCAAACCAGAAATTCTCATAGTATGTAAACTAGGTGCAGATATGTACATAGCTGTTTAGAAACACTGATCCTTTCAGATACTGCCTGAACCCTTACACTCTTTTAGAAACTCTTTCTAAGGATTTCTCATTAAACCAAAACAAAGTACTTATATCATTTTATCTTTGAATCTCAAATTGAGATTCAATCTGACATACAAAATGGACATGGTAGCTAAAGTCTACTAACTGGGAATTAAAAAGCCAGTTGAGGATTCTGGGCCCATTACAAGTACCTTATGTGCCAAGACGTGTGAAGAAGCAATCATAACACGTTCAGAGAAAGACTTATTTCTGATATATTAATAACAGAAGTAATAATATATCTCTTCTTGAGATTAGCTTTTCTATTTAGGTTGTTTCTTCTTGGAGTATTAAGCAGCTCTTATTATATATTTGAGCTGGCATTTGTGAACTACCAAGCTCACAACCAAGAGCTTTGTCACTTTTTAATTTCACTAGCGCATCCTTTTAATGGGCTAATTGGGCAACACAATGAAGAGAATGAACCCAAGCCCCATGGTATAACATTAATCAAAAACTTATTTCCAACACGTATGCAGTTAAAAGCTACAAATAAACAATCCCCACTTCATTCTTCAGCTAACTAAAGTTTTAAATAGTACTTCTTTGAAACTCATACTTATTTAGAACAGAAGCACAAATGATAGTAGGCCACCTTACCTGGTCGTGGTACAGGCTGTGCTGCTGGAGTTTGTGTTTTTCGAGCAGAAGCACCTTCCTTTTAAAAGACAGAAGAGGTAATATTAACAGCTGGCCTTCTTGTCAGGTACATGGGGTTTTTAAGTGAACACAGAGCTACAGAGGGTATCATGAAAATGATGGCAATATGTTTCCATTAAAGAGAAGAAACCAAACAGTGAAAATATTCAAAACTCTGTACAGATTCTGTTTTAGACTTGGGGAGGACAGATAACCTCGTAAGCTTTTACAGGTTTACATTTTAACCATCAAATGCCAATCAGAAACTTTTTTTCTATATTCAAAGAAACCTCTTCTATTTATAGTATTGTTTCATTTTACCTATGATCGCTTTCACCAAGGGTTAATAACATAAATGTAAGCAATTGGCTATAGACATTTCAAAACAAGATCTGCTTATGCTCTGGATGGAAAACTAGGACTATTCCTGCCTTGAAGAGTTTTAGTGCCCAGAAATAGCACACTCATGATACTTAGTTCTGCTCACGCCTTATCCAATTACCTTAATGTAACAAACAAAAGACCTGCACTACTATTTATTCTTGTTAACTCTGCAGAGTCAACACACCACGTAAGAGAACAGTGAGGTCTCACGTCTGGTTCCAAAGCAACATGAAATTCCTGCAAGAACAAATTCTGTTCTCAGTTACTTCTGTGAAACCTCACTGAACAAAACATGTATTACTAACAATATTACTAACACTGTAAAAAAATGCGATGTATTCCAGCTACTTCAATTTGCAAGGCTGACAGAAAACCTTTTAACATGAAACCATGAATTTTATCTGAAAATTACTTAAATGCTATGTGAAGTGTATCCTTCAACTGTGAGACACTGAGAAAGGTCAGAGATTCCGCCCTGCAAAAACCTGTTGGAAAGGACTCCAATATGGCATTATCACATTTGTATGTCCACACATAAATAACAATATGTTCTGTAAGTCAAAATAAAAAAGGCTAATGAGCAGGGGACTACACACAAGCAACCTCAAGTTCCATGATTTAAATAACTTAAAGAAACTGCTTTTAAGTTTCCACCATGAAAGTTAAAACCCTGTTTTTATCTCAAGAACTGTGAGGTACAAATACAAGAGAAGATCACTTGACAAGCCCTCAGAAAACACAAATTTACGCAAAATATCTCTTCCCTGAGCTTTAGTCAAAGCCACCCAAGATTAGTTACAATAGGCTGGAGCTGACATTTGGTAGAGCATGCAGCTTTTGTAACTTTTACAGTCAGCAACCTCCTATTAATCTTCAGTATAAGGATTTAACCCCCCCTTGCAAGAAATGGATTAAACTCGAATTTTGGTGTACTCTTTTCTGCTTATTAAAATACCAACACCTATGTAGGGCACTTGAGTCAGTAACTGTTATTTTAAGACTTTTTTTTTTAGTACCTGAGAAAAGGTATTTTTGCCAATGTCCTTTCACAATAATTACTCAGCAAATGATGAAAATCAAAATACCACACTCTAAAGGAAGAGCAGCAGGAAAGGCTGACTATCCTTGAGAAAAGCCTTGTGACTGAGAAACAGCAGTTATTGGAAACATCACCACCTTTCTTTTCGCCAAGAAAGTGGAAATAAAACATTTTGCATCTGTTTCTACAGAAGAATGTCATTTTCTGCATGAAAAGACTGTTCCTGTGGTGCACTAATTACACATGTTGAAGAAATACCAAGAATTCTCCCATATCATTTCCTTAAATTCAAAGCACTTTATGAAATAGAAAAAAGAACATCAAGCTAAAGAAACGTCACTTCCTGCAATGCTGTCTCAAGTTTCTAAATCCAATTCAGTTTGCTTGGATGCCTAACTATTCCTGTCTGCAGTCCCACATGTCCATTCCTCTTTCCTCCCCTACAGAATCCGTAACACAACTTTTCAGCCGCCCCTTCCACTTATTAAGTGCCTCCCATATCTCAAACAGACCCTGCAGGACCTACGGCAGCTGCAGCAAAGGGAGGGAACCAGGAGCTGCTTCGGAGATTCTGGAGTTTTTCTGCAGCCTTGGAAAGCATTATAACCAAATTTTAATCAAAGCCCTGCTTTGGTTTCCATATGACTTGTACTTGTGATTTCTCTCTTCACCAAAATGTCCATAAAGCACCAGAATATACATAGAATCAAGCCTAAAAAAGTAATTGGCAAATGATCTGTTTGGGAGTTTTTCACACTTCTCTGAATTGTCTACTCTAAAGTGATTAGTGGGAAACTTAGTGCAGAAACCTAAAACAAAAAAGCAGTACTTTGAGAATATTGCAACTGAAAAACTAAAAGCCAACCCCAAAACAACAACAAAAGCACATTAAAAAAAATCACATGAAAATACCTGAGTAACAGTAGGAAACAAATTAATTTAAATGACTAGATACAAAAGACGGCTACCACTTCCATGCCTACGACCTTTCTGTTTGTAAAAACAATTTCTGCAAATCAATTAATGGCAGAGGTCACAGCTAAATCACTGCCTTAGACTGTGATAAATTCATGGATGAACCTCAGCTCACAACTCCTGATATTCTGGCATTGTAGCACAGAAGCTCAATTGTCACCTACTGAAGGCATAACATCCATCCCTTGTAACTGATTTACATCTCCTCTCTCTCTATGATTATCAGTGACCGAATCACCACCTCCTATTACGTAAAAACTGCAGACAATGTAGCAAAAGAAGCTCTGATCAACATTTCAAGCCCACATTTCTTAAATGGTTTGCAAGGAGAAAAGTATACTATTAAGATGAGGAAGAAACAAAAGTACAGAGCAGTGATGGTTCACAAGATACACTATGTGGAGAAGAAAACCCGCGTTCAATAGGGAAGTCATTAGCAGGATAATTTTGCTAACATTTCACACTGTCCTGAAAACAAAAGATGCTGAGTTTAGACACAAAATTAATGCTTTTCAAAAGCATTCAGATAGAGGTATAAGTTTTTCCTATGACAACGCACTAATTTATGATACAAGCTCTGTTTACAAGGCAGGTATAACCACAGAGAACTACATGCTAGGATTTCTCCCAGAGGAAAAGAAAATTAAGCTGACAGAGTAAAATTCATTGTTGGTTCATTCAACCACACAAGGTAAGTGCTGCTGGTAATTTATGGCCTGTTAGCTACTCGGAGGCAACTTCTCGTTTGCATGCTCTAACTCCTTGTAAAGACAGTAGCTTCTTTCTCAGTGAGCGCACAGTAAGATATTTCAGATCTTCTAGTGTGAAGTTTTTAATGTAAAAGTTACTCTGAAATAACTAGCACACTGCAAATTCAAACTCCAGTTAGGGGAGCTTTTGTTTGTGCAGCTGTACCCTAAGCACCAAAAGCAGCAGAAATCACTACTTAGCTATTTAAAGAACATTCATTTCCTCAAAGTTTCTGAACATTTAACAGTTTTGCTCGAAGATGACATACCTAATTCTTATGCATAAGCCATTTGAGACTGTTAAGGAGTATATTATGAATATTCATAAGTTGAAACTAATTTAGTAACAAAACGATGTAATTTGAAAAATACAAATCTTCTTTAAGACGACCACTTAACATCATATTTGAATCAAAAACATATTACTTGGTTTAGTTGTGCTGATTTACCATAGAAGGTTACATATAGTTTACTTATTATTTACATTAAAAATATGAGTATTTAACCATTCAGAAGCAACAACCTGATGTAGAATGAAATCAGGAAAACAGATACCGAAAGCTTCATACTTTCCTGGATTTTACTGCATCATTTACAGATACACAACTGTATATACTTTTCAGTGGAATTCATTCCATTTCAGTACTAATGTTTCCTATCATATTAGACAGTTTCGAAATGTCTGCTCAATAACTGTTTTTATTTTAGTGTATGCCTTCTGCTATTTAGCGTTGTCCTACCTAAACATCTAAAAATATTGGGTTCACAAACCACTGCATGAATAGAAAACAGGTCAGTACGTGTGAAAAAAAATCCAGATTCCCACTTATAGTCAAACAAGGAAAAAAAAACCCACACCCTGAAGGACAACTGACGACTTCTATTATTGTACGCCCTGGTAATTAAGCTTTTAGTGTGTTCTTTTCTTCCCTCGTTCCTTCATACAATTGCTATGTTTGTCTTAATTCAGACACTGCTATGTGCTCTGATAAGTTTTGAGAGAGTAAACTATGTTTACAATAACAAGAAGCTTTAGGTCTATTGCTTAAAGTCCCTTAAATCTGTACATTTTGTATACTTCACACCTTTCCTTTCATATGTGCATTCATTTTCCCTTCCCTGCTTCTACATTATACAGGCAAGTTGCAATATATTATGAAGATGCAAATTGGCTTGGACAGATTCTTACCACACTTGTCTGTCCTCCAATATATTGCATCCTCAATCCATTTTAAGGTAAAAAGTTCAACAACTTTTAAAAGATCTATTTCTTGCAATAGTAAATCTGAGATACTGCATCTATACAAACATCAAAAATTACCTAACAAAACAAAAGCAAACTATGGTCAATCTATAGTTGTATTTAGTTACCCAACAGTGGGTGTTGTTTTAGTTTTTGGTTTGGTTTTTTTTTTTTAACAGCTTTTAAAACCTTCTGTAGTGTTTGTTGACCTTTTTAATTAAAAAAAAAAATCTCTCATTCTTTGTGTTAACTTGCAAAAATCACCAATTATCAATATTCAACTGATACCAGGACCTAACTAGTGTTTTTCTGTATTTTAGAAAAAATTCTTTAGTTTAGATACCTAGTACTTTTCTTAAGTCTAAATGAGCATTAACATCCACAGTAATATTCACTCATTTCTCAGTTGGAATCAGAAATTGCCTGAATGTAACTCATGCTACGTTTTAGGAAATGAACCCTCATGTTTTAAGCAATAAGACATGTTATATTGGTAGAATTTTTTCTTGGAGGCACGTTTCACATATACGCAAGTTAATTTACTCTCTTGAAGCACAAAAAAGCTATTAAAAGTTTCTTATTGTGGCTTCACAAGGTACAAATAATGGAAGGAAAAACCTCAAACTCAA